AAGTTATGAATGAGCACAATTATTACTTTTCAGAATGTCATCAGTCACACTGGTCAATTTTACAGTCACATCATAATTAGCTTCACATTTATGTCACAAAACAGAATGTTCACTTTGTCTGGTTTTGTTGCAGTCTGCCCCAAATTGTTATACTAATGGAATTGAGTGAATTACTTGTTCAACAAGGCTTCCTCCGTGCGCAAGCATAGTTGAAATAAAAGATGCAACGCATTAAGTTCGACACCTTAATGGCGGTCTACATTATTAGTTAGTGGGCATACCATACTAACGAAGTCGTGAACCTATTATTATAACTTGGCACTCATCCTAGTACTAGGTGTTCTAGGACGCGTTCTAAAAAAAAAGAAATGCTTGGCACGTGTTTTATTATAGAAAAAGCTTTATTTATTTTGTTATCTATGTTACCTATAAAATCCGTCCTAAGTATCTTAAGAAAAATTAAATCCAGGGAAAAAAAAACGAGGGAGAATTTTGCAAAAAAAAAAAAAACAACAACAATAATAAAAAATAAATTTGAAATTTTCTTAAGACGACCTAGGACGCTGGGATGGTTGGTATAGAACCTTTTCGCTCAGCTTAAACCTACTGTTAAGGTATCTTGTGTTTGTTCCGGGAAACTTTCTTCCGTGGGATGACAATTTTTTTAGGACGGATTTTTAGGGTGAGCTATTTTGGAGTATAGTGTTCGAAGATATAATTATTTAGTCTCATTTGATGAGTGCTTTTTGCTAGCTTTTTTCAGTGGTAATAATCTCTAAACTGGAATGATATCCTACATGCAAGAAATATAGAGAATGTCAACTTATCGCATTCTTTACAAGGTACGCGCGTAGGAGTTTTTCAATGAATTTTACACTCCAGAAAACATAAGCAACAATAGAATCCCATATTGACTTTGCTAGTTCGCTAATTAATTTTTTAATACACGTATTCTGCAATATTTCTAAAGAACAATTAATTAACTATTGTTTTGTTTGAACATTTCTGTAACCGAATAATTACAATGGATACACAAATACCACTGAAACACAAAACAGTGTCTGCGAAACAGGAAGCAAAGTTTCTGTCCCTGAACCTGAAAATGATAGCAATAAATAGCGCCTTCTATCACTGTGGGCAACAGCTAAGAACGTGGCTGATATAGGGATTAACAGTAGGAATAAAGGAACTGGAAGCATGAGAACATACCGATCGTAGACTACTTTCACTTCTACCCATATTAATCTACGAATTAATAATGACTTTAGTACGCGTTGAAAATAGTAAATATCCAGATCGAAATCGTTTCAAGCCAAGATATTAATGTCAGATGCGATATTCTCAATAACTGGTCCAGGATGCAAATTATTAAAAATTTAATTCATTAACGAGAAAGTCTTGCTGCTATAATGTAATCGATAACACTCAACAAATCATGGACGTATTAACGAAATAGCCAGTTAGTAGTCTATGAATTATTGAGTTTTGTAAGATTAGTCACCATGGTCTTTTCTCTTTGTCGACACCAATTATTCATGTTAATGCACAACGAAATTTACTGAATCTCTCCAAAGTTTTTTCTGCTCTGGGCCACTTTAAAAAAATTATAAACCGAAGAAGCCTCTTTGAAAGCCTCCTCCAATAAATCTAGATCTTCATCAGTAGGTCGAACCTCACCACTTTGTCATTTAGCGAAAAATTTATCTATTAATTTACCTCCTTTGTTAAATATCTTTATTGAAACCATAGCATCATTACCATCAGGCATAATACTTTTAACCAAATTTTAGCTTCAAGGAAGCTGATGCGGTACTTGTTGAACAACAAACAAATCGCGTGCCATATTTGCATCCTACTGACTATGAGCATGTAAGGCTTTTTCGTCCATATAACACTAGTGTGCTGTTTAGTATTTCAGAACAATGGTTGCAGGTCGCATATTTATATACCTGATTATTGCGTCTTGGCCTGCAAACGTTAAACTTGTTTCATAAATTTTGAACCGATGTAAATAATGCCACAGAAGAGATATGTGCGTGCTTGAATACCTTGAGATAGTTATGTTAATATGCGTCAATCACGTCTTCTACAACTGGAAGGTCAACTAAAGATGATGTATTCAGGATGTGTAGGCTGTTTGCTTGGGAGCGATCATCATTTTCGTTTGACAAAGATTTTCTCTTTACATAAGATTTCCTAACCAACACAAGATATTTAAGTTTAAACCCTTCTGACTTATTATTATCACTAACATATAACATTAACCATAAAACTGCAGGTGATTCCTTGGTCCATTGGTCGGAGTAATGATGTTATATTCGGTGGTAGAAAGTGAATCCGAACATTTAACAAGTCTTCAGTCGTGACAACGAGCATTATCCATTAAAAGAATTATTTTTCGTTTGGCAAGTCGCAGTCTAAGGTTGAGTCGTTAGAAGATGCATCCACCCACGCATTTACATTCCAGTAGTTCTTTATACTCTGAAATACATTATTGATAATTCGTTCCTTGGTAATTATCCGGTGAAGCGCGAACTACTAATCTCTCTATCGATTAAGAATATTTGACTCTTGTTCCTCGAATATCCTGGTGGCAATTGCGATTATTATTTGTCTAAGTATAAATACATTTAGATATTAATATCCCAACCTACGGACGTCCGAATTAATCCCACGGAAGAGGATAGATCTATAACTCGAGGGCGATATAATAATTTAGAATTAGTACAAACCGGGTGCTGTTAAATTGTATTTAGCTAAGTAGGAGAAGCCCACAGTTCCGATCGAAAGAAGCCTCAACAACAGTATTCATATTGTTTTATTTTATCAAACTAAACTTTCGTAGCAATAATTTACCTGTTTATATTAATATGTTTAACGAATATTAATTCATGATAATAATAATAATATAAATTTTCGAAATGATCATCCGCTGACATTCCTAAACGGAAAATTTTTGAATTTTAGATAAAATTGTGGGGTGCATTCCCAATATGTAAATACGTGACCCAATCAGAGACCGTACCAACGATTTATAAAGACATCATACTACAGCGGGCCCCTTTCTCTTTCTGACGGCATGGAGCTTGAATTATCCAAAACCGGGATAGTTGAAGATGCCGAAAACTTAGAGAACGATCAACTTGACACTGAATTAATTCAAACAGTTACTTTACAAGAAGTTACCAAAGCACGGCCTGAAGAAGCAATACTTGAGCCCCAAGAGCTACCGACACCGTCACGACGAGACATTGAATCATGGACACCAGACCAACTATATGCGCATATATGCCGAGTAATACCAGAGATCTTACATGAAGATAATGAGGAAACTAGAAAGATTCTCAATGCAGAAAAAATTGATGGCAGGGCTTTTATTCTTTGTGGTGAAGACGATTTTGCAAACATCGGGATTAGCCACGCCGAAGCGCTAGGGCGAGAAGTTTACCGATTGAGAGGTATTGATCGAATAGATCATACGCGAATGGTTTGAACTAAGCACAGAGATATTAAGTAATACTTTAAAATGCTATACTATGGACATGGCTAGTTGCTCTTGTCGATCTATGCACAGTGGAAAGGTCACCAGACTTCGAAGATATAGCCGAGATGAACGCAGAGCAAGTTGCTGCTTTTCTCACTGCTAGAACCAAGGAAGGTGAATTGGAACTCCAGAAGGATGATCTTAATATTATAGGATATTGGAAAATCCCGGGAATAGCACTATTGCAACAGGACGAGGAAAGGCTCATTCGTTTAGGGCTTCCTGAAAAATCTGCTAACTATATCGCAAAAGTCATTAATCGTATAAGAGGTATCTGTACGGAGGTCTATTTGTAAATATGTGAAATTTTTTGTCCAGATAGAATTGTATTAACATTTGAGGCTATAGGAGAGTATGGAATACTTCCAATGCCCATGTATCGAAAACTTGATGGAGTAGCTGGTAGGTTATATGCACGTCTGCAATCGTAAAATTCGTGATATAACGTCTGACGGTTCAGTATCGTGTTGTTTGTGGACAGGTTTGCGCAAGAAGACTGTTGTAATAATGAAGCTTGCAGAACATTCCCAGCAAGAATCTAACATTTCCGGTATGTGATTCGATTTTGGTTTAAAGTTAGACAGTACCGGTCATAGAACACTTTCAATAAATTTCTTAGCACATGCGCCTATGCAAGATGATCAATTAGAGTCATTTATGACTGTAACAGGTTAGAATCCAAATAAGTGAAAAGGTTGGCTTTTGCGAACTGCGAACTAAAATTTTTATTATTGATTTATTTAGAACGACCAATGGATGAATCACAACAAGTTTTAGTGCATATAGCTGAATCAAATGAGGTTCCGTATGTATCCTTTGATTATAAAGTTTCTTCTTATTCGCTTTTAACCTAAACAACGTCCCTGTCTGATTCTGCCATATATCTTGTAGAATAGAATGGCCTGAACTTAAATCCATAATAAAATCACAGCTTAGTAAGGTTTGTCATTTTTTGGGAAAGGGTGGGGGAGTTGTCGTTTGTTACGACCCAGCTAACTTATTAATCTAAAGATGTGTGAAGAAGGGACAGAAGCGACAGATGTCGTTAACGGGTTGTATTCCAAATTACTCGAAGAGCGTAATAAACTACTAGAAGATATAATAAAGCGATTAGACAAGTTCAATGAGTAAGGAGGCTCTTTCGATATGTCGCTGTTTTTAATATTTCGTTAAATAAACCTTTTTCTTGTAGGGCACCATTTACCATTCAGCGAGTAGCTGAACTGATGATAAGGCCTCATGAATATTATGTAAATACAGTAAAATGGTTGCGCGGTCTAGAAAAGGTATTGCTTTGATTTCTCGATGAACTCGGTACATTATTGTCATTCATTGACGGACAGCATTATTTTATCAGGTCTTATCCGTTCATTCTTCAATAAAAAGCTTTCCTGATGGAGGACAAGTAGAGGCAAATCCTACATTGTCAAGACTAGGTACTGAAGACATTTATGGGGGTGTACGTGATGCAGAAGAGACAATGAATGCTGACGATCGTTCAATGGACGAAGATGAAGCAGAGGCATTTCTAGATGCGGTCATAAACGGCGAGGAAGTTGTTAACGATCATGGCAAGGATGAGGAAAATATTACCGTGCAGGCAACGGAAAATTATTATTATGGATTGTTATCCATGGACTCTACTGATGAATGAATTCAGAGCAGTATATATATTTGGAGTGAGATAATAATGTATAAATAATAATGCTTCACCCATTGTCAACAAATATACAAAGATCAAGTTTTTAATTTAAGACAACAAGGTGTTTGTAATATTTACCATAGCCAACGGTATTCTGTATCTTTACAACCCTATGTTTACATTTACTAAGCTACAATATTAACATCTTCATCGCTACCGTCACTGTCTATTCCTCCGTCATCAACAAGCATTCTATTATCACCACGTCTAACGGGATGTCCATCAAAAACATCCTCATCTTCAAAAAGATGATAATCAAACTCTTCACCACTTCCTGACCCCTCTCCTCCTATGAGACTCAATACAACCGGTAAGAGAACTAATCCATGTAGTGCACCAGATATTACCATTGCAACATACATCCGGAAATAATAAACTTCAAATATCTTGCTCCGGGTAAATGCAAGTACGACAATACCGGCGAATTTGGTAAGAGTGATCCCAGAAAATACAGAGCTGCCAACGTCTGTGATAGCACGGTGTGCACGCTCATCACGATCGATCCCAGCCCCACCAACAACAAATGCCCTAACAATATGTACACAGAATTCTACTCCAATACCAACACATATAACGAGATTGACAAGACTAATTGCGTTCAATGTAACTCCCCAGATAGCCATAACTCCAAGAACATCAACTACAATCATCACCACATGTCCAACCACAATCAATCCTGACCATAAACTTCCCAATAATAAAGTAGTGACAATAAATATAGATATAAATGCAAGGAGGAGAATTTCTGTCGTCAGCCTGACAATATGTGCATATTGCTCAAAGAATATGTAAAATACCGAATATGGAAATACATCAACGCCAGTATAATATTTGATATCCTCACTAATCCTGTGAGCTGCATGATAAGCTGCAATATAATCGCGCTGACTCTTTAGCGGCGAATGATACGTTCTAAAATGGCTAGCAGTGACTTTCGCAGACTCTTTATCAACCACAATAGCATCACCGTATGCTGCTTTACCGGCAAGAGGACAGCTCTCATTTGGCTGTGAATTCAACCATAGATCAAGGAATCTTATGAATTCTTCTCCTTCTGGTAACCCGGCCATAGTAATGTTCCATTTTGGTTCTCTATTAGCAAAACACACTTCACAATCGTCTTCATCATCAAATTCGCCACAGAGTTCCTTCTGATCAGTTCCTTTCTTGAAACGACAACACATATCAAGTGATGGGTTAAGCCAGTGCAAGAAATCATCGAGCCATACAGCCGTCGGTTCGGCAATGTAAGAGACTCCAGCGCGCTTCCTTTCTTGTTCGAGAACGTTGGCAAATGAATATGATTGGCATGTGCTAAACCGACCACAGAGTTCTTGTTGTCCTTTGAGCGAGGTGACATTAACATCCTTTGCAACAAAATACACTGGCGGACCAACACCGAAATAATCGTCCAAGTCATCAAAGTAGTCAACAAGATAAGAATCGCTTGGAAGCGCAATCCTTTGATCTAACCCAAGTTCGATTTTTGGTACCAGTGACAATGAGGTTAAAAAGATACCGACAAACAACACAACTACAACGACTTTCACTTTATTGTTGAGTAGAACAGGAGCGTAATATTTTCTGGTCCATCTCTGTAATGTTCCTTCTCGTTCGATGCGTTCGGAAACCCCTTCGACTCGCACACATGGAAAACAATCCAAACGATCTTCCTCTTGTCTCCTTGCATCCAATGAAAGAAACGCGACAAACGCTGTCACCTGCAGTGAAAAATCTACCCAAATGGCCAGAGCAGCATATAGTGCGAAGTTCCTGACCGCTGGCATTGTAACCACTCCTCCTAATCCAAAGGCAATCGTTTCACTCAATGCACTTAATAAAATACTAGGCCCCATATATCCTAATGTCTTGGCAATTCTCTCCTCAACGCGCTCATCGCCCATTGATTTCAGTGTTAATCTTTCGAATTCATGATTAAGTATAAAGATATTGTCTACACCGACGGCCAAGACTAAAAATGGAATCACTTCAGCAATAATTAGTGTCACTTTGATCCCGAGGAATGAGAATATTCCGACCGAAGTCGAGACTGATGCTAAGACGATAAAGATACCGCATATTCCAAGAGTGAATTTAGAGTCTATTAGTAAGCGGGGGAAGGTAGAGAGTTTACCAAGTGCAATTGAGGCATATAAAAACATTACAAGATAAGATATTGCTATAGTGAGGATATCCGTATTTGTTGATTTGTTGAGCTCCTTCTCAAGCGAACTCTAGAAAAATGATATCAAGCGTTAGCCCAGGCGAGAAGTCATATTTGCTATTAACAAGCCTGGCTATATACCGCCTTTCATTTACCTCTGTCGAGTAACTAATCCGTAAATTTGTAGTATCGACGTCTTCAACTTCACCATTAATTAATCTTTCTAAATATGTTCTCAGTGCAGCTTCCCATTCCTCGGCTTTTTGAACTTCATCATTGTTTACATAATTATTTAATACAAATGTCATCACCATAGCTTTAGCCTTTGAATATTTTCCCTTTTCAAACCCGCCAAGCACCATATCTGCCTTCAATGGCTGCTGGAAATCGGGTAAACAGTATAGTGGGTTAGCAGCACACGAGTCCAGATCTGCATCCCATGTCTCTGGATCAACGTTTGATATGTCTGACTGCCAGTATCCTGCGACAGATTGGACGATACACGAGTCCCCGTTTGGATGAAAGCATAAATCTTGAAGCGTGTAATTATTTGGATTTGATTTAAGATGTCTGATACTTTCTTCTATCTGAAACAGAGATTTCAGATTCTTGTAGCTGACTACTGGGCTTGAAGACACTTTATTGCTAATAAAAATCTGCTGAGTACGGTAGAACGGGTTGAAGTTGGAATCAAAGAAATCCTTCTGTAAAGCCGAGTCTGAATTAGGCGCTACCCACAGTTTTACTGGATCTGTCTCGACATCAAACCGAGACCAACCGATAGATGCAATAGATACGATAAGCATCGATACACAAATTGTCTGCCAAGGATATCTTGCACAGATATAACCTTGTTGATAAAAGTAGTCTTCAAGAAGATTATTCAACCAATAACCTCTTCGATTCTGTTCAATATCGATGAAATTATCCATTCCGCCTTCTGTCAACGCCACCGGTTCGAATCCAGCTCTATTTCTTTTCTCGTCAAATAGTCGCTTAATGAATATAGCAAATGCAAGCCCCAGAATAAGACCCACATAAATAAGTAACAAGGCAAAAGACCAACACGAAATGAAGCCAATAGTGCATTGTGGCTTCTCTTCCGGGGTTGGATCTAGCATTGGGCATACTGTCTGGCAATCTACACATGAACATCTATAATCAGTATCTGTGTCATTACACATTTTAGCTGCAATATTCAGCGGGCGAAAGGACCCGCTCGTATCTTCTGAAGGAAAGTCGATTTGAAACGGAGATCCAACTCCTGGTCGCTCAGTTCCCAGATAAACCAGCATTTCATGGTAATTTTTAGCTCCACCACCAATGAAATCCATGACATATCCATTTGTAGCGGCAAATTTGATATCTTTGCACGAGTCATAGAATCCTTTTCCATACTCCTCGTCAACAAAGAAATCCACGCTTGTAACAATAGTTTGATTAGTTTGAGACCTTCCGGTTGATGTGACATTCACAAAGAGAGATTGATCTGGAGAGCAAGTGAATGTACAAAAGAATTCAAGAAAATTATGCCAACACGCAGGGCAGGAGGAAATAAGAGCTTCAACTTGTTTTATATTAGCAGCTAAATCATCAAGTTGATCCGAGTCGCAGCATGTGCGAGAATTTGCGAACCGTGGGCCACAGACGTCTATCAATTTCGAACGTAGAGCACTGTCGGGCTCAGGCTTTTGATTTTGCGAGAGATTATTATTATGACTATTTGATCATCCATAAAAAAAAGCAACAGTTTATTAAATACTCAACAAACTTACGTTAACAGCCAACTCGTTGAATGGGCAATTTAGCTGCTTCCCAAAGGAAGACTTTGAGCCGCACTGGCCCCTCATAACACAATATCCTTCTTTGTGAACATCGCTTTTAACATAAGAGAAAAGTGTCCCTATGATCAATAGAGACAAAATGATAGCCCTCATGGTGTTAGGTAACGATCGAGTAACCCTCCCGTTCCTTTAAATCTATCTTATCAATATAACGCTGAGGCGTCGTGTAACAAACATAGGTACCGAGTTTTACAAATTCGTGTTACGCGACATGCATGCGTATGCAAAGCAAATCTTGGATTGCCTTTATTTAAATGGCAAAAAATTGATTTGAGCAAAAAAAAAAAAAAAAAAAAAAGAAAAAAGAAAAAAAAAATTATTATTTTTTTTTTTTTTTGAAACGATGCCTTCGACTTTCCATACTCTAGAACGGCATAATTTATTCCGACATCCGAGTGATCAGAAATATGACTATCCAGCATTACAAGAAATTGTTGCGCCACATATTGAATCATTTAATGCTTTATTCTATCCAGCGAAGAATGGATTGTTGAACCTGGCTGTAGCTAATTTAGAAGCTAAGGTCGTATCTGATGTTCCTGATGACATGAAAAACATCGGGAATAAATTGAAGAGTAGGTATGCGATAATTATTAATAGAGATAATGATTTATGATTTGCGGTCAACGAATAAGATAGTTCTTGTTAATAGTTTGGCTAGATAATGTTCAAGTGGAACGCCCGCTAGCCCCCGGAGCTAATAAACAATCTACAACACGAAAAATTTATCCTACGGAGGTAGAACCATCGATGTAGCAACTACTCTACTATTGCAGTAATTATTATTAGCTTGCCAACGGAAAAGAGAAGACTGATGCGTTGTCTATTTGACTAGTGTCGAGAGAGATTATCGACATATCGAGGGAAGATACATGTGAATTTACACTGGCAAGTTAATGATGGTCCGATAAATGTAGAGCGAAGGGAGATGGGCTATTTACCAATAATGGTTAAGGTCACTAACTAATTTTTTTTAGTTGATGTCCATATTGTTAATTTCTCTTCACCGTTTCTAACTTTTGCATCCGGACTGTTTAGTCAAACAGATGCAATATCCGTCATATGTATCCAAAGGAGTTGGTTCGTCATCACGAAGAATCGGACGAAATGGGTGGTTATTTTATAATAAACGGCATAGAAAAGATCATTCGTTTGCTTCTAGTCCAAAGAAGAAACTATCCCATGGCATTGATAAGAAATTCTTTCCTGAAACGAGGGCCTATGTTTACACCATATGGAGTTAATATTAGATGCGCACGAGAAGATGGAACTACGCGGTCTTTTGGTATTAATTATCTAAAAGATGGTGATTGCGTATTCCGTTTTTCGTGGAAGAGGCAGGAATATACGATACCTCTGGTTTTGGTGCTAAAGGTTAGTGTAGTTACGCGAATTATTGGTAACGGCCTATTTCATATTCTGGATAAAAATGACTAACTATTGAATGGTCTATACAGTCATTATTAGACACAAGTGATAAGGAAATTTTTGATGCTGTGGTTCAAGGGGATTTCACAAATACTTTTGTGACAGATAGGGTGGAACTTATGTTGAGAAGTTTCAACGTCCACGGTATCTATACCAAGCACGAATGTACCAGCTTTCTAGGAGAACGATTTCGAGTCAGTATTCGATTGCCACCGTTTTTTACGAGCGAAGATGTTGGGAATTATCTCATCGACGAAGTCGTGCTTGTACATCTCAAAGATCGGCGTGATAAATTTAATATGTTAATGTAGGTCAAGAATTTGCTGTGCATTCTTTTTTTCTTATATTAGAATTAATATATGTTTATTGATACTATTATTTATAACGTCAGTTTTATGGTCAGGAAGTTATATGCGCTGGTAGCTGGAGAATGCTGTGCAGATGATCCTGATTCACCGCAGAACCAGGAGGTTCTACTTGGTGGCCATTTGTATGGGATGATTATCAAAGAGAAGCTAGATGATTTTCTGAACATAGTTGTTAGTTTGATTAGTCAACATGTGTCGCGAAAGAAGCCTGTAGACTTCTTTGACAGTAAGTGCCTTGCAATTTTATTGGAGCTTTTAAATTACAATCAGCTATAGCCGGGACTAATAACGAAATTCGTTGACTGCGTGTATATTTAGAGAAGTTTTTATCGCAAATAGTTAATTCGACAAAGTTTGATCTCGGTCAAAAATTGAATTATTTCCTGGCTACAGGAAATCTGTTATCAAGCATGACGATGGATTTATCTCAGGTACGTTCCATTTTTATTTTGTAATCTGTATAAAGGTTGATTCATGACTCACTATTGTTGCTAAACATTGATAAAGTCTTCAGGTTATACAGTAGTCGCAGAACGGTTAAATTTCTATCGCTATATCTCCCATTTCCAATCGATTCATCGTGGTTCGTTTTTTGCCGAATTGAAGACTACGACTGTACGAAAATTACGACCGGAAGCTTGGGGTATTCAGATACCTTCTCGTTCAATTTTTTGTTTTAACTTTATAGTTATATATTTGCTTATTGACCATATATCTCTTAATCTAGGCTTTATCTGCCCGGTTCACACTCCTGATGGTTCGCCTTGTGGTCTACTGAATCACTTAACATCAAGTTGCAAAATAATTACTGCCAAATTGCCGGCGGATAACCTTATACAAAAGTTAAATTTATTGGGAATAACCAAGAAAGCTGCTGACGCTGGTCGAGCAAAAGCAAGAGGACCCGTGCTTTCAGTGCAACTTGATGGCAGAATAGTAGGATGGTGTAGACAATCGATAGCTGAAAGCATTGTTGAAAGGTTAAGACATTGGAAGACAATGAAAGAACATGAGGTATATATAACTCTAATCTATGTGATAAAATGGATGGGAAATGCTATTGTATTCCTTATTGACATTACATTGTAGATTCCCCTAGAGCTAGAGCTTGGTTATATACCACCATCATCCGCAGGCCAATATCCTGGGCTTTACTTATTTTCAACTCCAGCTAGGATGATGAGACCAGTTAAATTCTTGCCTAATGGCAAGATAGACATGATTGGTTCATTCGAACAGGTGTACATGAATATAGCATGTCAGAACGATACAATAATCCCGGGATTGACTACACACCAGGAAATATCGCCACACAATATGCTGAGTGTACTCGCCAATCTGACCCCCTTCTCAGACCATAACCAAAGTCCAAGGAATATGTATCAGTGCCAAGTAATGTCGAAGATTTTATGCAACGAGGTTCATGTACAAATAACAGTTAAACTAATCGATGTTTACCCTTATTATTTGGTAAGATGGCAAAGCAAACAATGGGAACGCCCTCTTCCGCCTATGTACACAGAACGGATAATAAGTTGTACAGATTGCAAACAGGTCAAGCACCCATAGTTAGACCAAAGCTTCATGACGATCTAGGTCTTGATGCATGGTTAAATGGAACCAACGCAATAGTTGCTGTGCTCTCATATACAGGTACGTATACAGGATTATTTGGCTCTATAAATGATCAATAGGAACGATAGATTAACACTATGATCCTGTCTCATCAGGCTACGACATGGAGGATGCAATGATAATAAACCAACAAGCACATCAAAGGGGTTTCGCTTACGGGAATATCTATAAGAGTGTGGTAGTCGACTTGTACGAACAGAGGAAACATGGAGAACCCTTAAGTAAACGTTTCATGCTAGGTTCCGATGTAACTGACGCTGTGCGCAAATTTCTCGATAAAGACGGCCTCCCTTTTATCGGAACCCGTCTCGAGGAGGGAAGCCCTCTTTATGCATATTACAATGAAACGACCGGATCTACAACGATAAAAAAATATAAAGATACGGAATTAGCTTACGTTGATGAGGTACGCCTGATAGGTGATGATAAGGGAGAGTACGACCCACAAAAAATACATATAAAACTACGAGTACCGCGGCCTCCAGTTATAGGCGATAAGTTTTCTTCCCGACATGGGCAAAAAGGTGTATTATCCCAATTGTGGCCACAATGGGATATGCCATTCACAGAAAGTGGGATGCAACCAGACATTATCATCAATCCGCACGCGTTCCCTTCTCGTATGACAATTGGGATGTTCATAGAAAGTTTAGCTGGTAAAGCAGGAGCGCTACATGGAATGGCTCAAGATTGTGCACCATTCAAATTTGCCGAAAACACATCGGCCATGAACGATTCTGACGAAAATCCTCCAGCAATGGATTATTTCGGCGAACAACTCCGTTGTGCTGGGTTTAATTATCATGGAAATGAGCCAATGTATAGTGGAATTACAGGAGAAGAATTTCGGGCCGACATATATATTGGGGTTGTGTATTATCAGCGGCTGAGACATATGGTATCTGATAAATGGCAGGTACGATCTACTGGACCGGTGCATCAATTGACGATGCAGCCGGTGAAAGGAAGAAAGCGAGCGGGAGGGATCAGATTTGGAGAGATGGAAAGAGATGCTTTGCTTGCACATGGAGTGAGTTATTGCCTTCAGGACCGGTTATTGAATTGCTCAGATTATGCAAAGGTAGGTCACACTTTGACGTAGAATGCGGTCTTTCTGATATGCTGGAAAACATCGTTACTGATTTCCTTTGTGTTGCTTATTTAGTGCTTAATATGCAAGAAATGCGGGTCCATCTTTTCTGTGTTAGTTAGACGAGGAATGGTGACTCAAACGGAGAGGAAGATAGATTGCAAAATTTGCAAATCTTCACAGCATTTGAGTCTTATTAAAATACCTTATGCATTCAAATACTTGGCCACTGAACTTATGAGCATGGGTGTTAAGATCAAGATAGAAACATCACCATAGATAAATTAATGCTAATTGAATAAACGAGGATTGATCAGTTATAATAACGTTCTTTGCTCCTTATATTATCCACTCGTTTCTTTGCTTTGCCTACCCTTCTTTGCACGAAACATCAATCATACAATTACGTATATACAGCCCACCATTATTACCGTTTTGTAACACGACTTGAACATATTCTATAAGCCATTGTCTATATATTAAGCTGATAAATGATACAACTATTTTTTTAGCTTTTTCCTGATATTTCTACTTTTACTTGCCGTGCCTAATTTTCTCTTTTTAAAAGTCACTTTCTCATCTTCATCCCTCTCATCAAGATCGGGGTCTAAAGAAATTGTCTTCTCAACAAGTTTGAAATTTCTTATATCGTCATGATCATCTTCTTCATCATCGTCATCTTCCAACACCTTTGCTTCTTCACCCTTATCATCTCCACGCTTTCTCTCTTTATCTTCTACCTCCAACTGCGGTCGAGGGGGAGGCGTGACAGCTCGCCATTCACCCATGACGCCTTCGGTACCACTATTTTGGGGTAATTGTTCGGGAGACGAAGAAGCCTGTTCTATGTCAGTTGTCGAGAGCGGTATTTCTACCGATTGGGAAAAGGAATTGTCAGCATTTGGCGTATTGTAATATGCGTCTTCTTCCGCCGTCGAGGCTTTCCCAGTCATTGTGGCATTAACAGCCGTTCTCAGTGAAGACAGTGATGAACCCGGTAATGCTAAAGCAACATCTTTCTTATATTGTCGCATTGCGGCCTGGTATAAGAAAGAAAGTCAATTAAATGTTGCTTAACAATGTACATAATCCACGGATCGTATAAAACCATTTACGTTTTCTATTCGTTCTAGCTCTCGTTTTATTCTATCCTGTTCTTTCTGATCTTCTTCCTCACGACGATAGACATTGCTTAAAAATCTTTCGGCATTTTCCTTGTGTTTTCTGCCATTCTCATGCATGGAACGACTCTAAACTCGGCAACCGTTGGAACGTTCATTATAAGAAAAATGCAAGTAATAGTGAAAAGATCAAATAATCATTTAACAGTTGACACGCACTGGCTGGTTATCGGCAATAAATATTTTGCAATACTGACACCAGTATTTGTTCTGCGAGACCCAATATTCAGACCTGTGGTAGACAAATTGGTTGAGTATTTATTCGCTGTTCTTAACGCAAGCATACGATAAAATCAGTCTAATGTAAGGTCGCATCTACATGGTGAGTAATTCTTATTATTTCCCCGGTATTTATCATATTATACAGAAGGTAGGCTGAACAGAGAGAAGATTGTGAAAGAAATGGTGGCAACGAGTAAACATTATAATAATGCCCTACAAAGATTTAAAGTTTGACTTTCAGGCACGTGATTATCAAAGCTCATTTAATATAAACCATTGTCACACATGGTAATAGCATACTAATACGCGGATCATCCACACAACGAAAAAAATGGCGACTCACGACAAAGTTAGGCAAATATTGAGATTATAAAGCCCTCTTTCGATTTTCGTGGTGATTCCAGCATCTTGTGCTAAAATCTTAAAGTTGGCTCTGAGGATTGACTTTCACGGTCGCGATGACTTGAATCGAACCGAAAATAACTCGTAATAGCACTCTGAACACATGTACATGAAGTTTCTGTAGTATTAATGGAGGAGAAACTCAACAAATGACAGCTAAAAGTGAGCTCAGGACAAAGTTTTCCTGCCCCCCTCATTCAACGAACTCGATCGTGCATGCCACTTGACCAATGAGTTTCGTATGGATTTCTCTGTAGCAAACGGGAAGCTTTTCGGTAAATACGTTCATGTGATTACTTTAACTTTTGCTGTCGCATATTTAATTCTGTTTTTACACAGTTGTAACATGTTATACTAAATGCGCTATATATATATTCGTGAGTCAGTTGCTGGGGTTGTATACTTTCTATAAACTAACCTAGTGTTATTAAAGGGAAACAAGGCAAACGGCCTGATGTTATGTTCATTGAAAAGTATGATGTATGACGACGAATGAAATGAACAGGTGTGTATGGTGATGGCATATCCGGTTTTGTTCTTGATCATGCCGTGTTATTACGTTGGTTAATAAGGGTTCAATCTTTCTATGAAGAAACTTGGCGCATCGAATATTTAGAAACTGCAGAGATACAACGATCAGGGCCCAATCCAAATGAAAACAATCAGCAGGAACTCAAGCTTGAAATGACTCCTGTGGGGATTGTAAAAACGCTTCACAATTACGTTACCATATTGTACATTATGTTCATGTTCTTGGATGGAGTATAGTGGATCCGTGTTAGCCAAACGTTGTAGCAGTAGAGACTTGTCTTTTCCCGCAGATATCTAGGGACGTTACATGAATAGTCGAACATTTTACAAGAAAAGTCTTCGCTGACATCTGTTTTAGACGATGGTGTTTGTTTTTTTAAACTCGCTGATATATCGATATAAACCGTGTGAGATATGCACTTTTAATTGATTTCGCTTTTTACAAATGCTTATGGATTTGAAACTATTTTCTAAGACTCCATTTTAGTGACTCGATATAATGTAAATGGCACCGCGTTTGATTCTGTATCACCTGAGTAATTCTTCTCGCATATTTTGCCTGTAGTACAACACGTTTCTCTTCTTTAACCTGCATTGCCATTCAATCAACCTTTACTTTGGCAAACGATGAAGTTCTACTTTGCATACGTATTTTTACTATGTCTCATTTCATACACTCATGGACATGATGAGACGGCTTCTGGTGGATCGACAAATTATGTTGAATTAACAACAGACACATTTAATACCGTAGTAGGACATGACCAAGGTGTATTTGTGAAATTTTATGCGCCTTGGTGTGGTCACTGCAAGAATCTCGCACCGGTATGTGAATTAATCGATTTCAACTGACTCTTCTCTTTACCTACCAGTCGGAGAAGAGGGAATTGTCTATGATGTCACAGAAAATTTTTATGCTCGTTTTAATATGGGTTATTATGCAGACGTGGGAAGACCTTGCGAATGCTTTTGCTCACGCAAAAGACAAAGTTGTCATCGCAAAACTTGACGCAGGTACACGGTCTATGAAATTGATGGTATCTCATGATGTCTCCCCCTCATACTAATTTATCTTCTTCCAAACAAAAGATGAGTACAAGGATGTGGGAACAAAATATAATGTACAAGGTTATCCAACCTTAAAATGGTTTCCACCGCACGACAGTGATAATCCCGAAACTTATGACGGCGGTCGTGATCTTGAATCCTTAGCTACGTTTGTCGAGGAAAAGTCCAATACAAAGAAAAAGATAAAGAAAGCTGTGGTGGCGGTTACTGTGTTGACTGCTTCCAACTTTGACAGTATTGTCTTAGATAAGAGTAAAAATGTTTTGGTATGCTGGCATGGGTTTTCGTGACAGATAGCCTAGGAGCAATGGATTTAAGCGTTCAACTTGACATACCCATTTTTTTTATATAGGTGGAGTTTTACGCTCCTTGGTGTGGTCATTGGTAAGTGTGTTTCGAGGTTCTTGTTCTTGCTGACAGTGCCAGAATGCAATAACGCGTATAATTTACTTATAACCTATCATTTATTCAGTAAATCTCTGGGTAAGTTGATGTGTTAATCATTGTTCTATACTCTTGCATTTGTTCCTTCTGTTGTTGACAATCCGTTTCCAATTTAATTGTAGCCCCGACGTATGAAAAAGTTGCTAAAACTTATTCTCCAGAACCAGAGGTATGCTTGCTCTCTCGCAGATGTTACGTTACATTAAACGAATGTCTATTCACTGATCTTTCAATCAACTAAACAGTGCGTAGTAGCTAATCTCGATGCGGATACTTATAAAGATTTGGGTGAAAAATACGGCGTTAAAGGCTTTCCAACTATCAAGTTCTTCCCGAAAGGAGAGGACAAGACTCCTATCGATTATGACAAAGGTCGATCCGAAGAAGATCTTGTCAAGTATTTGAACGAAAAATGTGGAACCGAACGTCAGGTCGGAGGTGGATTGAATGAAAAGGTTTGTATTTGTCAACATAAATGATATCTCTTGAACGATGAGAATAATGATATTATGCGGTTTGGGCAGGCCGGCAAGATTCCAGAGTTAGATGCTATTGCTCTACGATACGTTAATGCGGTATCGGAAGAATCGATTGACGAGCTTTTGAAGGAGGCTGAAGACGAGGCTGCAAGTATAAACACCAAGTACGAGTGATCCTCTATTCCCGTCTTGCTATTTCGTTTTACTGTTGATTCATTATGTAGATACTCATTAAAACTCTTTTCTTATGTAGAACTGCTAAATATTATATTAAAGTAATGGAAAAGATAAAAGAGAAACCCGGATACGTGGAATCAGAGATTTCTCGATTAGAAAAGATTATCAAATCGGGAACAATATCTGAAAACAAGGTGGATGAATTTACAATTAGAAAGAATATTCTCTCTAGTTTCAAGAAGGGTCCTGGTCTAGTACATCAAGAACTGTAGACAAACACATACAAAGTTAGCAGTATTAAATTCAGTATTAAATTTATTGAATGAAAAATAAACATATATATATTAACTGGCGAAGTTTCCGTGCTACTGGGGATTTCACTTTTCCTGTCCCGAAAATTTTATTTGTCCCCACATTGTTTGCTCGTGCCACATTAATCCACTTACCCCTCAACTAAACTGATAATTTCTTCTCCAACTTCTCAAACTCTTTCTGCGAGATTTCCTCTTCTGCATCTAACACTTGTTCAATGCCAGTGACATCCGGAATATAATGCATCAACATGCTCTCAATTCCATTCCTCAGCGTGACTACCGATGAATCGCAAGTCCTGCAACTGCCTCTTAACTTCAATTTAACAATTCCATTCTCGAATCCTCTGTATTCGATATCTCCTCCATCCTCTTGAATAGCAGGACGTACATGAGTGTCTAGCAGCTCTTTAATCATCTGAACAACTTCCGGATCATCAGGTAGAATGGCTGTATCAGACGGTGGTTGTTCTTCGGTAAGTATGGGCTGTCCTGATGCGAAAAAGTCCATAATATTGGCATATATGTCTGGTTTCATAATCGGCCAAGGTGTGTCGGTGTCTTTGGACACTGTTATAAAATCGGGCCCAAAGAAGACTCCCGTCACACCTTCAATTGTGAAAAGTTTCTTGGCAAGGGGAGAAGTCATGGCTTCGCGAATGGACAAAAATTCAGCAGTACCGCCCGATTGCATTACCTGTACTCCTGGAATAAATTTCAACGAGTCTTGATTTGGAGTGGTTTCTGTTTGAATAAACATTGTTCGGACTATTATCGGTTTTATGAGATACGAGATGAGAAGAGTATCGGAAACGTGACAATCTCGGAAGTCAAAGGTAGAAATGTCTGTGGAAAAACATACTTTGTTGGTAATTGTGAGCCACAATGCTTCCAATGCATTTGTTTTCAACCTTGTTAAGAGTTGTCGATTGTGGAAGGCCATTAAGGTTCAAGGTATATAGTGATCTGCTAAAACGCGATATTGGGCGAGTTTCGTGTAAAATGGAGCGTCTTAACAAAAGGCTTAGTGAAAGCAATGAACGACGGGTCATATTTTTGTACTTTCTGATTTCATGGAAGATGCTTGCAAATTTTACTGATAATTCTGGTACAACGCCCTCTTAACTACAAATAGTAGGTTATCGCTACACAAACCGCATATTCAACTTGTCTGTAGTAAAACTTCATAAATCTGTCTGTAGTAATTTATAATAGTCACCACTATCTCCGGACAAAACTGCTTTATAAATGCCATCCGTATAAAAAACAGTTGTCTATAATCTCATTGTTTTACCAGCGACATCACCACATTCAACGTGGAGCTAAGGAGAATGTTTGGAATCATATGGGATTATAGTTTTTAACGTAAGTGATGCGAGTTGAGCTATTGATATTGTATTAAAATCATCCTACAGGTTTAATGTTCCTATTCTATTGATCCTCCAGAAACCTTTACTTTTTATGTTATGCATAGCACCTGTGGAAGTCTCTATTACTATTACTATATTGTAGACAGGCTAATGGAAAGTATGCACCAGAAGACGATCATCAATATATTCCCGATTTAAGCCGCGATGCTTTGCTGTTACTATTATTACATAAGAACTTCTGTGTTGACTGTTTTATATCTTACAGTGTCTGGAGCTGGCAGAAGTAATGACAGTAAGTTTCTGTTAGCCCTTCTATGTAGATAGACTCTTTGTCTAATCAGGACACTATTAATTGATGGATCTTTGTCTGCAGCTTTGACTTGATATTGATTAAAATTTTCTGATTCTACACACATGCTACTTCTCAAAACCTATCTACTCAGTTGAACAACCATATTACTATCACTATATTGATAAAGGCCAATTATGAGCTTATCATTTGTCAAAGAAGAAACAATTATTATTGAACTTGTTATACTGATATGGGGCATGCTGCAACAAAAAACATTTGACTATGAGTTAAAAATGGCTGGTGTGGCCGAAAAATTAACCAGTGACTGACAGTTTTGCTTTAGTGGTGGCAAAGCTGTGGTTAAGACATAAATTTGGAGACTATCTTAGCTTTTGTTATGGCAAATATGACAGAAATTTAATGGAAACTGGCGCAGATGTTTATGAAAAATTATAATAAGTTTAATAGGATTATGTCTATATAAAAATATAAATATGAAATTAATTTACATCAAATTCACCATGGAACCAAAGAATTACAGCACATTAGAAGTATTTTAAAGAAAGCTCAATATTAGAGTATGAGCATAATAGACAGTTGACGCGCCGCTACTGGACTCTATGCTAACACAAAGGATTTGAGTGATATTGTTTTTATTGAAGCTAACTATTCTTTTTCTGATCTTAGTGGCAGACGACTTTACTTCTCTATCAAGGAACGACATGTTTACGATATGTGTGAAAAGTCGTTCTCAGAATTCATGTTGGAATTGTGCTAAAAAGTTACAGATAAATGAGACACATATTAGTCAAATGTCAAAAGCAAAGGGCACCTAAATTTTGCACTAATACTAAGCGCTCCCAATGCCCGAATATGAAGTCAAGTCATTACCTGTCTGCAGAGTCTCTTTTGTATTTCTTTTTTGCTTCCACTGTCTTCTCCAGTGTCTCTTCCCAACTAAGTCAGTGCCTGGGCCAGGGCCGCAAGTGGATATCGGAGAGACCTCACTTTGGGATTGTTGTGTCGTATTTAGCGTCCGCTATCTTTGCGACCACGCCTCTCTTTGCTACTGGTGGTGTGGTGATATCCTTTTGATGGGAAGACGCGTTGCGCGATGTGTCTTTACACATTACTGATATTGTTTCCATTGTTCTGTATGGTTGTATTTGCAGCCAGGACATTGCGGAGTTCGTGTTAAATGATGGTTTACATGTGCTGTGTAGTTTGGAATGCATTCCTCTTAATATTCTGAATAGAAGTGCTGTCGGAGTATCGGAGCTGTCTTTGTCTACACCTTTATGATACTTATGTAACAGTTCACGGTGGCTGAGTGCATTATGATTAAGTAATTGCATGCGTTAAATGCTATTTGATATGCAGAGTGTGACCAATGATAATTAATTCGCGTTTAACATGATAATGATAATCTCCATCAGCTTAATTCCTGAGCGAGAGTATTGGCTTCGTTTTTTTGAGGCACGTAGTGCAAATAGTATTCGTATCCTGGCTTTGCGCATAATGAGGCACGTAGCGCCGAATTGTTAGCAGTTGTTAGCTTCGTATAATTTATGTTTGCTGTGCATAGTTACTGGAATAATATGGGGCAGACTGCAACAAAACCAGACAAAGTGAACATTTATAAATGATAATGAGTGGCTGATTATGATGTGGCTGTAAAATTGACCAGTGTGTTTTGAAAAGTAATAATGGTGCTCATTCTACTAATTTTTTCCTTAGTTTTATTCACTAACTTCCGGAGTTGTTGGAACTTCTTAGGTTTAGTTAATTTGGTTATTTTCTCATCTATAGCATCTAAATCCTTTCTCAATTTTTCTATTGTCTGCTGTTGGTTAAATATAAAAACATCCTTTTGCATGGTTATTGCAAAGATTTTTCAGTCATGTCATTCCTCAGCTTTGTCAAGTGCTTCCATAGACACTTCCTGTTCTGCTTCTACTCTCTCTTCCAATTCTTCTGTTCTGTTATCTTTTTCTTCTAACTTTACTTCCAATTGCTTATTTTTTCAAGCAATTCATTCTTCTCTTTCTCTAAATTAGTTGTAAACCTTTAACTTCTTTACTTATCAAGATAATGCATTTTGATGCATGTAAATAAGACAAACAAAACTTTTTCTAAATTTTTTGTCTTCTAAATGCTGTAATGCATAAGGGCGGAGTCAAAAGTAATCTATAACTGCTCTTATCTCTGCTTCATTTGGATTTCAGTTTAAACTACCAATTAGTTCTTTGATTTCCTCTTCAGTTAAAATATTGTTTTGGTTTGTCATGATTTTAATTCCTATCTTATATATTTTAATAATTAATATCATTAAAAGAAATAAAATTTGCGGTTGACTGAAATATTTTTATTCATTATTAATATAGATTGGTTTGGGACAACTTATGTCTTTGAATTCATCTCTAACGAATGGGCGAATATTATGATAAAGATATTATTGTCTTTTATAATCCAAAGGAGACGGAGTTAGAACTAACATAGAAAAAAATTTAATTTCTTTGATAATTTCGGAAACACTTGTTTTTCTAGTTTTCAACAAATTAAATTCATTATAAGCACCATTAGCAACCAATTGCGCTTTGACAATTCCACGGTTAACTGCTTCGAATACAAAATGCAGATATTTTTGCAAGCCACTCAATTTATTAAAGAAAACCAATACAGAATTAAGATTCAAATATTTAAAACCTTTTCCGTTGTCATAACACTGAGCCTTGTTTAATCCCTCTGTACTTGATTTTTTCACAACCTCAACAATATGATCTATGCAATCTACTGTCGTTTTGCGGTATAGTTTCTTGATCAATCCAAAACTACCATCACACTTGAATTTAGTATGTCCAGGTACCATAAAATTTAATTCGATACTTTCATAATAACCACAAATTACCGAATACAGATAAAATCAAATGGTGGCATTATTTTTATTCTGCCCGCACGCATTGTACAAGTAATCTTTAGACGTTTTTTCAATCGCTTAATACCATGCTTAACGTGCCATTGGGCCCTTTCCCTATTATTTCATTCTCATTGAAAACGTAATTAATTTGTTCGCGTACTGCTTCATCCTGTATACCAAATAAATGTACTTTACGCGGACTGAGATAAAAAATTTTGCTTGCCTGTTGATCGGAATGGGGCACGTGAACGTTTTGCGCTCAATCATAACTGTAATGCGCAGTCGCGTCAATGCTACAATAATCAGCTTTATGAAATTCTCGTCTACCAATTTTTTCTGTTGTTCTGCTAATTTCGTAATAATTTCTCTCTAATTTAGCCTTAACTAGATGTTCTTTGTATCTTTTAGTAAGTCTCTTGCTTCTTCTTCCTTGCGAGCATTATACTGTAAGCCGTTCCGAAAATGTTGGCACGTGTCACATAAATCCGTTCTTGGACTCATGATTTGAATATAAGGTGTTAATCGGTGCCTAGCTTGCGGAATGCGTCATATTTTAACAATTTCAATGTACTATCGTTTTCGAGACCTGCAATAAAATTACGATAGACTGATTTGTAACTCGTTTCGGCTGGCAAAAGTGTAAGCGATTGAGTAATGCGATTGACATTTCTACCAGGACTTGGCAACCCATGAATTTCGGCATAGTTTTCGAGAAAATTCTTCACAACGGTAGCAACAGTTATATCAATGGTTATTTTAGTTTTCTATCGCGGCACTCGTTTTATGTTACCATGAACGCGTGGTATTATCCCATTCGTCGCTAAGTGATTTCTGACGTTTTCGAAGTGCGTGCGGCCAATTCCTAACATATCGAGATACGTTTTCTGACAAAGCGGCGTATTACGATCTCAATAGTAAAACGTTCTCTTATTATCCCGCGTTTTCTTTTTAAGACGTCGACTGACAGTTATTTCTCCATCATTCAATGCTTTTAGCTGAGCCATTAAAAATATATCTTGCTCGGGTCTAGAGAGAGCTTGAAACGTCTCACGTAACTCGGCAAATTTTTCTCTCGGAATCTTTTTGAACATCACAATTGCAACCTATCTCCAAGAAACGCATGGCTTTTTCATATTCGGTAGAACCATTATAATTATAAATTTCCATATACGGGTAATCCTATATATCCTTTTATGTGTAGCAATCCAAGTGTGGTGATTTACACTACGAAAAAATTTGGTTTGAAATATTAAGTCTGTTGTAAGCCTATATAAAACTCGTTATATACAATTTTTCTGGTAAAATCCATGTAAACATACTCAGATTACCTATATATCCTTTATTGTAACATCTTCTGAAAACTGCTCTCCAAGAATATCTCTATAATTGTTCCAAAGCCACCTTAATGCTTCTTTAGCTGTCCGTCTATCAAGATGCTCTTTTGCCATCAATGTCATTGATGCGTAATTACTTAATTCTTGAACTTCTACAAAGGCTGTCCTAATAAGATATCCAACAGACCAGATATCAACACTTTCATTGTGATCAGGTTGAAAAATCTCAGGAGCATGGTTATTGCAAGCCAATTGTATGCTAGGAGTACTTGAAGGAGTGTGACATGCATCATCGAAATCAATAATGAACCATTTATCTTGATCAATGAATTTCAGCACATTGTCCCAGCAGAGATCACGATGCATAAAGCCTATTTCATGTAGAGACTGGGGATGGACACTTAATTAAAAAAAAACCAAAAACGCCCAAGTTATAATAAAGCAAAAAGTAAACCAAATAAAAGTCAAAAGTACCTTGAGGGCAGTCAAAACGCAATGTAATGCTTTGACCAGTTGTTTCTTGGAAGTTGGCTTATGTCTTACACCCTTTGGTGGAAAAATAGCAAATGGAGTTTCAGTTTCCATTGTGTTGGTACCGTCCAAGTGATCAATGAAAGGAACATTAGAGTTTTCCATTTCACGGTAAAGATTCTTGAGTTTCTCAACAGACCCCGCCTCGTAATAACGTTTTATAACCGAAGCTTGCAAGCTTGCAACAGCTCGATTGTTTTGCCGCTTGATCTGTGGAGGATGACAAACTCGTGCTCGAAAGGATCTGGAAGGGTTTGACGAAGAGGAATTAACAATCGGCCGATGTTTATTCCGATATTGAAAGCCTGTATACGTCCATCCAGTGTTTCCAGTAAACAAGTAACTAAGTCCTTCCGCTTGACTTGATTTTCTTCGAAGTAATATGTAACCATGGTGCCATGCGCATAATACCCGAAAATGTAGGGAATCGCCATAGGTCCATGTTAATTTTGAGGCCAACTCAACTTCCGGATTGTCATCACTGTTGGGTCCCTTTTCTTCCCCTCTGGTAAGACAAGCATGATGTATCAAGTATGAAAAATCAGGTCGAAATCTTTTTGTAGAAGTATTAGTATGGCGATTTGAGTTTCTATTAAAGATTTACTCTCGATTCCTTTATTGTAAATAAATGAGTAGTTCTTTATACTCTGAAATACATTGTTAATGATTCATTCCCTGGTAATTATCGGTATAGCTGAGAAACCGTTAATCCCTTAGATTTAGGCTTTTTTTTTGCTTTGACAGCATTGATAATTTTCGAAATTTCAGCTTCAGTTAAATTATTCTCAGAATCAGATTCCGATTCAAAATCAGACCCAGAATCGGGGTCAGAATCGGATTCATTATCAGAAGAGCTAGCATTGGACTCAGAATCCGAATCTATAGTAGCAAGATTAACTTTGCCTTTTTTCTTAGATTTACTTTTTCTAAAATGGCTAGACTTGTTCTTTTTTTTATTTTTAGAGCAATTGCGAGAATTATGACCCGGTTTGCCACACTTTGAACATTTGTATTGAGAAGATTTTGAAACCGCATGTATTACTCGAGCTAATTTTGCTTGATTGATTCCCAACTGCTCAAATTGTAATCTCAAATCTTCAACTGGATCATAGTCATAGTCCTCTCCAGGTAAACCTGTATCATCTATTAAATTATCTAAAAAGCGATTCATAGAAAGTTCATCAGCTTTTTGTTTTCCTGGTCCCGGGGGTTTCTTCAAAGTCTGCTGTCCTTTAGCAATAGTTCCTTTCAAACCCGTTATAATTTTTTTGAAATTATCTCATGAAAGTGTAATTTGATTAGACTGTTCTTCCTGAGGTTTAGTAGTAGATTGTGAAACAGGTTGAGATTGCAATAAAGCTATAATAGATTTTACAAAGCTTTCCATTTCATCTCTACTCATACCTGTATTGCTCGAGTAACTATCTTTTGTATTAGCTTTAGATCGTGAGCGAGAGGTGACTGGATGAGAATTGGGATCGTACTGCCCTAACATCAATTCAGCTTTCTGTCTTTCAATTTGTTCTAATTTAGATAATAAAGTGGAAAAATTGGATTTTCAAAGACCAATACGTCTTCTAATTTATTATCAGGAGAAAGATGTTACGGCAAGCTGATCTGATGAATCAGATAAGTAAGTCACATGATAAAATCTTCTTTCGCAGTCAGCAAACCCACACATCGAGTAATACAAAAGTTAAACTAGTAACGGCGTGTCGAAAAATCCACAACGGGCGCAATAATAATAATAGCAAAAACGTTTCGAAAAATCCGCAACAGCACAAAATATTATAATTAGAAATAGTCGCGCTTTTCCGCAACAGCACAAAATATTATAATTAGAAATAGTTCGTTTTTCCGCAACAGCACAAAATACTATAATTGAAATTAGCTAAAAGAGCGTCGCGTTTTTTTCGCAACGCTTGAAGATATATAGGTAGCTCATATTCCATCGTCAAATCTTCATATTATCAAAGTCATTATGTCTTGAAAAACATCAAAAAGTTCGCCCGCAATCCTTTATTATAAATATCCAATTAATTTCTATCGTCGAAATAATTGATTATTCGACCAGACATTCCACTAAACGGCTCATTCAAGCTGTAAAGGAACTCCAATAAACGGCTCACTTAAGCTGTAACGGAAATAGCATTGATTTAATCAAGCTAGTAAGGTCCGCTGATCAATTACGTGAATAACGGAACGAGAGTTCATAATCAATTATCGAGACGATTAATGTTTAATTAGTTTAGTAAAGACAAGCCCGACGTCGGAAAAACAAATCAAAGATAGCCCTGTTTAAATTTAAAAATAGTATTATTCTCCTTCGATTCTTTAGTAGAATAATTGTTGTTATTATTTTATTAGAGATACCCTTATTTGTGTTCACGAGTGTTTGAAACTCGGATAGGGAGTGAGAAGCGCGCATTTAATTTAATTACAAAAATAGGACACTTGAGGCTTAATTCAGTCTTAATTGCACAACTATCATAATAAGGGTGATAGTACGAGCTAAGCCTGGTAACATCCCCCGGTCGGCGAACACGCCTACACGAAAAGATAAATCACCCTCCCCAACCCCCCCCTAAATTTATTCCCGACCGTAACATCACCAACTTGAAATTCAAAATCCCTACCATAAAGAGACCAGCACATGATTTCTTCCTGATTAGCCTTCGAAGCTCAATCTTCTGCACCTATGGCTGTATCGCACAACTGAGCTAAATTTTGTGATACCTCATTAATGTCGAATGAATTAATACACTTCGCAGAACCATCCATGCCCCCAAATTTTTCGGGACGGGCCGTCTCGGAAATTTCGATCTGTCCTGGTTTAATATTTTTTGATATAGAGTGATCTTGTAAATCTAAAGAAGTATTGAACAATTCTTGCCGGAGTTTATCTGTTCCCTTTTTCTTATGGCTAACCAAAGATAGGCCTTGATCTCGAAGCTTCTTCTCCCTATTACTATTGCGTTGTTTTATCTCGCTACTAACTTTTTAAAATCCAGAAACTCATCGATCTCTTTATTTTCCGACGATTTAGGCTCGGACGAGTATGTATGAATATTGGAAGAAATATCAGATGATGCTTCGTGGAGAATAGAATCTTCTAATACGTGTACACTATCACTTTGTGTCTGCTTCTGTTCCAATTTCGTGACTCTGTCTCTGAGCTCAGAATTTTCAGCAATGAGATTACTGGTGTTCTGTTTTATTTTCTTTACTAGCTCCTCGAATCTGGTCTTGAGCTCAGCATTTGCTTCTGTGGCTTGTTTCAATTTTGTATTCTTGGCCTTGACATCAGAATTCTCCTTTCTAAGCTCAGAAATCTCAGCCAAGAGCTTCGAATTTAATTCTTGCAACGAATCAATTTTTGATTACATTATTATATATAGAAAGCAGATTTATTTAAAACTTTGTGTTAATTAGGATCTGAGAATATAACATATAGGTAAAAAATCACGTGCGCGTTCCTAAACGGAACACCGATCACTTTTGCCAAGCAAAATTCGAAATGCCTGAAGGTCGTGGCATGCAAGCAACTATTGATGAGTATTTTGCAATATCATATGATTTCGTTGTAGAATCCCATGTGTGAAATAAAGCTGATTGATCTACATATCATGTGAATCACTTCCGACAAATATAAATTCTTATTATAGTAAATTATGCTTTTTCAAAAAATATTGACGAATTTTGATTAATGCTGTAAGCACTGTCCGTCTCCCATCAGGTTCTGCGAGATCGAAACCAGTTCTCAGCCCATTTGCTCCCGGCCACCGCTCTATCACAATTGACTGTTGTTTTGGCAAACCGAAAAGAAGCTCCTCCCAATACGTCGCAGGAATCACAGCTTTATAAAACGTAACATATGTAGAAATCACACGGACAATATATATGGTTTGATCTTTCCAATCCTTCCTGTCAACGGAACGTATATTCTCATTGCCACAGGCGAGAACATCTACAGCGATTTGTGATTCCCCATAATCAGTGCTTGGCTTGACATTCTTCAGGTGTTTGCCCTGTTAAAAAGTTATTTGAGTCGAAAAATATGAGAACTTTTCAAGTAATCAACAACATACAGACATCTACTCCGATAAGGATTGAGCCTTTATTCTTAATATTAATTACGAACTCGGGGATTGATGACACACAAGGCACATCTTCGATGTATAGTCTGCATGGCGGGTGGTTTCTGGATTTTGAGAATGTAAACTTTAGAATACACCATGATAAAAGACCTAATGCTTACATACCTGATATTTAATGGCCAGTCATTCAGCTCAACAATACGAAGTAGATCGTCCACAAGTGTGTCAGTAAAAGTTTCGTCTGTCCCTACCACCTCTAAACCATTGAATACGACGTCATGCAATTTCGCAAAGAATGTTTGAACGTCTGGATCCGTAACCCCTTCAATATTTTCAACATCGAAATCTAGATTTCCAAGTATATGTCTACTGATATCAGGGCAAACATACTTATCCGGAAAGTTGGTGACTGGAACAATATTTAAATTGTAAGTATTATTCGTTTAGAAAATCGTTGATACAACGTAGTTCGCACCTTCAGCTGGAGGAATGACAACGTCCTCGTGTGAAGCCGGTGCGAAGCCCACTCTGAGTAGATTCATATCTCGTATTTTAAACTTAGATGTGGAGGGAGGGAGGTTGTAGATAGATGAGGAGGCTGTAGGCTCAGCTTTTTTGTTTCTTTGTTGCGAAGTTAGGGAAAAGAGTCTTGGTCGGAGAGTACGTACGGCAGGGCGAGAAAACCTCGCAACGAGACTGAGCAAAGAAGACATTTTATAAACAAAAAATTTATGATGCCTTTATTGAAACGAGAAAAATACGCCTGCGTTGTAAAAAAAGGCGATAAAAAAAAAAACCACCGATTAACCTGATTTATACACTCCCGTCTCAAAAGTCACCGACCACCCCCTACGTTTGTGATTGAATGAGAATACTGGCATAACGAGCAATGCAATTACCATGAAATTAATACCGAATTTAGCGCACCTTATAGGTATCACATACACAAAATATTGCAATATGCTAGATAGTAAAATTACGAATTTACCTGGAGCCGACTTCTATTCAACGAAAAACGTTAAAATTAGGTATGCGAATTAAATATTCAAAAAATCGGTAAAAATCAATCCGCATGTAATTTTGTATACATTTACATTTATTCGAAAGCGCAAAAAAACTGCTATTAAATGCAGGTAAATTTGGTCAAATATCTTGTTTTGTTGTTGAGAAATCGTATTTTGAATTTAGGGTATTATTCAGTAGTCACCGACCACCCCATAA